AACCCTATAGAAAACATAGCTACTACATTATGTACAGTCATGTATATGCCCCAAATAAAAAAAAAAAAACATCTGATGACCTTTTATTTTTTTTTACTTTCTATGGATTCTTGGTAGTTGATAATGTAGGTTGTCCCCCCTCCTCCACACTGAAATTGCTTCCTATGGGCCTGTTATTTGTTTATTCAAGCTAAGTTGTTGTTTCTTTCTTACATTCAAATATCTTAAAAATAAGTTTTCCCTCTTTCATAGTGCAATAATGCTCCACAACAACTCCCTAGGTGAAGAAAAAATGTTCATACATGACTTTCTTCTTTCCATATTGACATACCTGTCACTTTTTACCCAATAATACAAAAGAGTTCCAACAAGGGGAGATAACAATTTAACTCCAGCAAATTGGTAATAAGGGGCTAAAATAAGCAAAAGAAAGTAAAATGAAGTATCCAAATCAGTTATTCCTCTTCTAAAAAATATATTAGATTAGGAATCTTCTCTTTTTCATTTAAATATCATAGAAATAATCCAAAAATATGGTAAAAGACTGTTATTTAAAATATGTGAAATTGTAGCAAAATATGGTATTTCAAAGTTAATTTACAACAAAAAAAAAAGGTCAAGGTCAAACATGGAGTAGGCACTTTCCAACTCCAGTGCAATTATTATGGTTTTTGGTTAATTGGATGATAAACAGGAGGGGATTTATGATCCTGTAACTGGATAAGTGATTTCTGGATGCTATTTCACAAGTACAAAGTGACATACAATGTGAGTTAAAAAGTTTTCTTTGTGTTTTCCAAGCTAGTCTATGAACCTCCATATTGAACCTCCATATTGATATCTACTCAGCTTGGCTTTACCATTGAATCAAACTGAAAATTGAAATTGAAAACATTCTAGACATCCCCACCATAATTAAAACAGGAATCTGCTTCTATTGAATCCTCAAAACTTTGTAAAATACAATATTTGTGATTATCAAAATGTCTCTCAACACTGGAAATCCTAAGAACAAAAACTTTCCCTCAAGCAAAAGCATGGGCCAGAGCTCAGGTACTAGAAAGGGTGGTCTATCTGCTGTATCCTCCAGTGGACAAACAAAACAGCCTATAGCTGGCAATAAGAGATTCAGGGAAGGGAGTGAGTCAGGGACTTCCTCGGGAAACATCACATCAATTGATGACACTAACCAGGATCTATCCCAACTAAATTCCCTTCTTGATCACCTTACCAAGGATGAGGAGAGCACCAAGAAAGTAATCAACATCATTCTTGGAAAGCCAACAATCAAGTCATGCATCAGTGAACATTTTATGTCAGAAATTACAGACATTCACAATGAAATGAGGGAACTGAAGAACAGGGTGGACAGCATGGAACAGTATTCTAGACGCACATGTCTAAAATTTTCAGGAATACCTGAGGAACAAGGTGAACACACAGATAATATTATCTTAAAAGTCTCTAATCAGTTTATCCTTCCCTCAGACAACCCATTGGAAATTCACCAAATCAGCAGATCACACAGAGTTGGCCCACCCAGGGATGATGGCGTTCCAAGGGATATTATTGTTCAGTTTGCTAGTTACCGTGACAGAGCACGAGTGTTTGGGAACAAAAGAAATCTGAAGAGCTTCAACCAGAATCCATCCAACAGATACAAGATTTTCATCAATGAGGCACTTACAAAAAAGCGAGCCCATCTCCTATTCGAGGCTAGGAAACTTGTAAAGAGCAGTGATCAGTTGGAAAATGCATGGACGTATGATGGAAAGATAATTGTTAAGACACTAGGGAAGAAAAAGATCACCATAGAGACCGAGGAGGGCCTCCACAAACTGCATACTTTCCTTGAGTCACCAAATGATCCCCTATCTCCTGAACTGCGTCCAGAGTTTGCACCACTTACCTCAACTCCTGCTAATGCTGCCTATAGGGACTAGACGTTTTACGTATGGACTCTTGCCGATCTGAATTTAATTCGACGGCCGTAAACGTTTTATTTCCTTGCCGCATACTTGGTGCAAATCTGTCATTTCTCCACGTGCAAAAACACTCAGGGTTTCTCGAGCGCTTGTGACACGATTACCAGTACGCTTTACGAGGGGCAGACTAATCAACGAGATACATGACCAGGCCATGTATATAGCACACTGATTAGTTATTTAATCTGCCATATATTACATCGATATGGTTTTCATTTCTACTGTATATACATGTATTTATGTTGTATACCTTTTTCTTATTATGTTCATTTCTTTTTCAACTTAGTTTTTCAATTCGGTTCTTACCAATTCTCAGGGCTCAGTAGACTGCACTTTTAGTGTTTACTTTTATTACAAAGTGAAAGTTGTCAATTTTATAATGGTTGTGGCATTTTCTGATCATACCAACTTGATTTTTGATACAAATGACTAAGAATGATTTATATTATTTCCCACAACCATGTGCAAACGATGTGTAAGGGATAGAATTTTTCAAGGTATGTCCTTATATTATTACTTGGTAATCTATTATTTACTCATTATAGGAGGCATTGAAATCAATCCAGGTCCTACATTGAACTCCAATATAAAAATTATACATAATAATGTGTGTAGCATTCTCCCTAAAATTGACATTATATATAATGAACTATGTGATTATGATATTGTTGCTATTACTGAAAGTCATTTAGACCAATCTATAACTGACAATGATATTGAACTTGAAGGATTTCAGACACCCGTTAGACTTGATCGTAACAGGTATGGAGGTGGTGTTATGATCTATGTTAAAAGTGATCTCAGTTTCAAGAAACGTGATGATATACTTACTTCAAATATTGAAATTATATGGATTGAGATTGAAAATGGTAATCACAAATTTTTAGTTGGTGTAATATATAGACCACCTAGTGCAAAAGCAGACTTTGTAAACCAACTTGCACTATCTATAGAAAGTGCTTTGAATGCTGAATTACCAATATTTCTGTTGGGCGATTTTAATTTTGATATGTTAGCTGATGGTAGCAATGCATTTAAAAACATGTTGCAAAATTTTTCTTTATCAAATGTTGTTACAAAACCAACAAATTTTTCAAGATCAAAAGGTACATGTATTGATCTTATTATTACCAATGCTGTTGAAAAAATAGAAACTGTAAATATCTTAACACCTTTTTGTAGCACTCATAGTCCAGTTGGTGTTGATCTACATTTTAAAACATTCAAGCAACACTCATATAAAAGATACATAAGAAATTATATAAAAGCTAACTACTCACGACTATGCACAGATTTGTCAAATGTTGATTGGGATAGAGAGGTATTTAATACACACAATATCAATGACATATATGATAACTTTATGAAGATATATAACCATTATGTTGACAAAAATATACCTAAAAAAGTAGTGACCATTAGACCATCAGATAAACCATTTATGACAAGTGCTATTAGATGTAAGATGCGACAAAGAAATAGAGTACATTATAAAGCAAAAGCAAATAATAATGAATATCAATGGAGTAGATACCGTCATTTAAGGAATGAAGTAATAAGTATGGTACGTAAATCAAAACAAGTCTATAAAGAAAAAAAAAATTACCTCACAAATATTAGGTAGAACAATACCACCTGGCAAATGGTGGCGAATTGTAAAGTCTATTACTAAATTTTCTAAAAAACAAACCAAACCCCCACCAATAAAATCCAATGGTAGAATTTATATACACCCAATTGAAAAAGCTAATATAATTAATAAACACTTTGCAGAAATATCACATATTGATGTGAGAACAGAATCCGAACTACCCCCTCAAGGGCCAGGTCCACCATATTCAATAAACACAATTCATATTACACCCCAAGAAGTGGAGGATCAATTACATAATATCAACCCATCTAAACCCCCAGGACCAGATGATATTTCTCCACATATACTGAAAAATATCATTCCGTCTATCACTGCACCCCTAGCAAAATTGTTTAATGCATCATTAACCAGCAAACAGCTTCCCCATATATGGAAACTATCAAATATTACACCAGTTTATAAAAATAAAGGTAGTCCCGAAGAACCAGGAAACTACAGACCTATTGCTTTAACTAGTATTCTCTGTAAGATTATGGAAAAAATTATTTTCAAACATCTCCACAACTATATGATGGATCATAATCTTTTATCCAAGAATCAGTCTGGATTCCAACCTGGGGACTCCACCGTAAATCAGCTTTTAGAAATATACAATACTATTATAAGCAATTTAGACCAAGGCAAAGATGTAAGATTTGTTTTCTGTGATATATCAAAAGCATTTGATAAGGTCTGGCATAAGGGGTTATTATTTAAGCTTAAGCAGAATGGTGTTGTCGGAAATATATTGGATTGGATTGAAAACTATCTTACTGATCGTGAACAAAAAGTATTATTAGAAGGGTACTCCTCAGTTAGAGAAAGTATAAATGCAGGCGTCGGTATTAGGACCATTCCTCTTTTTGATATATATTAATGACATAACTGAAGATTTAGAAAATCAAATTAGGTTATTTGCAGATGATACTTCTTTGTTTGTAATTGTAGACTCTGATACACAAGCCCCTGCCGTCTCTTTAATTAATGACTTGGAAAAATTAAACAATGGTCCAGACAATGGATGGTAGACTTTAATCCTAGCAAAACTGTAAATGTTAATTTTACCCGGTCAAATAAAGCTCATCCACAAATCTCATTTAGTTATGTAAATAATTACATAGAACAACAGCAAAGTCACTGCCACCTTGGACTTATACTACAATCCAATGGTGGTTGGTCAGAACATATTTCCAAAATATATGATAAAGCATGTCAACGTTTAAATGTTCTTCGCACCCTTAAATATAAATTAAACAGAGATTCCCTTATTAGTATTTATATTGCTTTTATAAGGCCTATTTTAGAATATGGAAATGTAGTATGGGATAATTGCACACAAGAACAGAGTAATCTATTAGAGAGTGTGCAAATAGAGGCTGGGCGTATCATTACTGGGTTAAGGCGCAATTCTTCGAAACAAAAATTGTATAATGAATTAGGATGGCAAACGCTTAGTGAAAGAAGAACTAAACATAAGCTTACACTTATGTACAAAATACTTAATGATTATACACCTGAATATTTGCAAGAAATGGTCAATCAATGCCTACCTGTTTCACATAATTACGCGTTACGCAATAATTCGTATCACCTACCAATCACTAGAACAGTTGCATACTACAAAAGTTTTTTACCATCTACAATTAAATTATGGAATGATTTGCCAGATAGCTTAAAAGCTGTAACAAGTGTAGCAAAGTTTAAACAGTGTATGCAAAATAAAAATCTTGAAGACAAAACAAAATCCAAATTATACAATTATGGACAAAGAAAATTAAATATACTCCACTGTCAGTTGAGAAACTTCTCTAGTAATCTTAATGCTGACTTGTTTAATCATAATTTAGTTGATTCACCTAAATGCTTAAAATGTGGATATTGTTTTGAAGACTCTGTTCACTTTTTCTTTCAATGCCCATGTTATGATTTTGCCAGGAACATTTTAATTACATACATGAGCGACCATGACATACCAAGAGATGTCAATATTGTATTATCAGGTTATGATTGCCTATCTCTTAGAGAAAATATGTTATTCTTTGACCAAGTTCATAATTTTATAAAAAACACTAAAAGATTTTAGTCTGAGCCTTCCTCTCCATATTCTTATTACTTAATTTTTTGTTTGTTTGTTTTTTTCCATCATTTTTTTTTCCTTTTTCTTTTCTTTTAAATTTATGTTATTGTTTTCTTTATGCATTTTTTCTCCTCAATTTTTCTTCAACCATGTATTCTTTATAATTCTCTTAATATTACTTTATAATACATGTTTTGTTGAACTTAAAATATGTACAGTAATTTAATTATACCATGTGTACCTTGATCTCAAATGGAGCGAACTAATATAGGCCCTTGGCCTGCTGTTCAATCCATATTCATATTGTACTCTTTGTATATTATGAATAAAATACTTCTTAAACTATTAAACTAATTTACAACATGTAGATATTATTTCCCAAGCTCAATATTTTAATACAAAGTAGAGGTTAGATCATTCTTAAAGTAACAATTAATTTAATTTAATTTCAACCTTGGTCTTGAGAGAAACGAGCATCTAAAAATGGCTAAAAAAATCATACTCATTTATTTAGGATCTATAAATAGATAGGTAAAAAATAAAATATTCGTTTGAATTAAGTTTTTCCTCATTAATTGTGTTAATTAGACCATGGCTATGAAAATAAAACAAAATTTGAAAATAAACTGATGACAAAAGGTAACTTTTTGACTTGATCAATTTGTATACATGTTCCTTTAAATTTTGTGTGATTTTCGACAAATAGGCAAATGAGCTGTTACTGAAAATAGATGCAGGGTTCGACATTTTTTGTGGATATTCTGACTTCTACCTTTATGTAGAAAATTTTAAGCTACTTAAAATTCACAAGTTGCAACCTTCCATTTGGACGATGTTTTGAATTTTGCATGGTTTTCTCGCGGACTGGCTCTTAATATAAGAATTTCAGTAACCTCGTTGAAAGTCATCATTACCTAAATTCTGTGGTTGTTTCAATGACCTTGTAAGCAATTACCACCTTTAATGGGAGGTTATCTTACAAGGTCGAATCTATCCTTAATTATTAGTTAGAGTTCTCGGCAGGTGTGAACGGTCAATGACAAAGTTTAAATTTTCAGAGGTCCATATCCTTTGTACTGTTATAAAAATCATTGTAATTTTCTCTTTTTTTCAAAACTGATCGATGTTCGTTATCCTCACTTAATTCGCAATACAACTTTAAGGACAGACGAGACGTTCCTTAATAATTTATATTTTTATCCAAGATTTCTTCATTGAAGAATTACTACTTAAACGTGTTTACTCACAAAAAAAATTGAGGTTCCTTATCAGGCATTTGTGCAAGATACAAGAGGGTGGCATTTCTTATATACATTGTAATCCTGTTAGGGAAAAAAAGCTTTGCTTGCAAAAATCAAATTTTTAGTGTTTCAAATTTTTAATAACTATCAGAAACCGTTTTGGAAATCAGAAAGTAAAAAAATATTTTGTAAATTTTTAATACATTATGAAGATATACCAAACAGATATAAGGAACGTATCGTTTGACGTTAAGTTTTAATCTTCATTCTTGTAAAAAAATATTTCAATGTACAAAATATCCGTTTCCTAACACATTATATTTTACTCAATCTGATTATTTTTATTACACTTTATAAAGGATATAGATTATTTCTATATAAAAGATAATCAATGTGGAATATCACTTACTACATGTAGCAACTTTGAACAAAAAAATAGCAACAATTTTAAAGAAAAAAATTCCGTGACAAAACCTTATGTAATGTTTTACCCTTTTGCTTGTTATAAACGTAATCAGAAATAAGAATACAACTATTCAAGGGGTGTGGGAATTTGAAGTACAATTATATTTAGATACTATTCAGGTTTTTGTGCAACGAAGTGATGAATTGATCTGCAATTTCACTCATTCTACGATCTACGTATAATTTGTCCTAAAGTGTGGCTAATCTTTATTATATCAACACATCGACTTACATTGCCCCTGTTTTACAGTCTTTCTCCTACTTGAAGGTTTTCCAATTCATATAAAACTGAAATTACATCGAGTTCAAGATTGATAATGGAACAAAAATCTTTGGAACCCCTTGGCATAATGCCATTTCATTTTGTGACATATCATGGGAACAACTTCATGCTACTTTTTACAAATGACATTGAATATCAAATATTATTTTTTTGCCAGTGATGGGGAATTATAACGGGATTTATGTCAACCTTTTATATCATCTGCATAATACGATCAATATGGAGATTACTAACAGTTATCAAGCTCTTTGGAAGCAATGTAAATCGGGAGCAGCGCCAACACAAACCCCTGAAAATATCAGAGGTGGGATAAGTTGTCATAGGGGATTGAGACATCCCCTGTAAACCGACCAAATCCGTTATGACCGGGAAAGCCGTATACGAGGGTTGACCCAAAAGTTCAAAGAATTTCTTTGTAAAATGCCATCGTGAGATAATGGAAGCAAACAAAAGGAATATTTCTACTATAGAGTTTTTATGCAATAATGCAGGAAAATTTCTCTACGTTCCAATTACTTATCAGGTCGCACGAGTTTTCTTGAAAATGGATAGTTGTAAAATATAGGGGAGACTTCGACGTATCGTCAAGTTTAGTATGTCACGTCACATTATAGTAGCATCTCACCCTCATTTTTTCTCAAGAAAAGCATTAGTATTCCCTCACACTGACTTATCTTCATATAACACTCATATTTCAAAAATACTCCACATCTTTCCATATGATGTTATAATTATTACGTCAGCGGTCAACGTCCATTAACGCTAAAATATCTACGACGCATAAAAGACCACCCGAAAGGCTGCCACATCTTTAATCAAACTCCATGGAAGTTCTATTTTTTCTTAAATTTCTCATGAAACTTGAAAAACAAGTTGTCGAATGCATTTTTCTACAGCCTGTGTCAGTAGTATCTATAGGCGTTTAAGTCAGAGTGTTCCCGATATTTTCACAAAACTTATAACTTGATTGAAATTGACGTTGTCCTACAATTTAAAGATAAACAATAAATCATCAACTAATAAACTAAAATTTCATTTAAATCAGTAAAATTCTCACACATAGTTTCACGAGAGGTCAAGAAATCGTAATTATGACATAATTTTCCTTTTATATGTAACTCAGAACGATTTTTTTCCTCTCATTTTTCAATATACGTATTAAGAAAAAAGAAAATGAACGATTAAATGTCTCCCTGCATTTTCAAATTTTCTTTTATATGGCAACTGCCATAGAGTTATGGGTATTTAAAACTATATTGTTTTACTAGAAAAATTACAAGAATTGTCTATATTTTAATTTATTTCGTATTTTTTAACCATTTTTACAAATAGATATATGAAATATGATGAAATTCAACGAGCTTTTGGATCAATCCTCATAAATGATATAACTGGTCCCGTCATAAAACATTCAATTTTAACTGGTAATTCCCAACATTAAACCTTCTCTTGAAATGAAAGAAAAGGGATACGAAACAAAACAATCATATACATAATTGATTGCAATGAACTAAAAATGCATAAGAAAGATGGAATGAGATCCAGTTGCGCAAGAGCCTTTTTTAAACACCCCCATAAAATTACTCTATTTAAAATATACCTAAATTATAATGATCCATTTATTTCGTGGGAGCAAGCTATACATAATCGGTGTTTTCTGAACTGTCGTGAAACTTTTACCTCTGTTCCTTGAGAAAATGAAAAGGACTTTGAAAACATGATAAAGAAGATAATGTCAATTACAAATTCCTGGACATTGTTACTCTGCTTTTTCATCCAACCGTCTGCAAATGGTGAGTCCATTTTCTCTCTCTTTCTCTCTCTTTCTCTTCTTTCTCTCTCCCCTTTCTCTCTCTGATCGTCTATGGAAGGAAAAATGTTAACAAATCCTTCTCGGAAGAAGAATAAGATTTTGAAAAGGAATACATTTTGTACAATGGGTGAGTAATTTAATTATTTCAGGGTTGTTCGAAAAGTTCTTAGACAATGTCAATCTTCGTTACATTACTTTTCAGAAGTTGAAAAAAGCACATAATAATATATAAAATAATTGTTTTGTCGATGTATGAAGTTTCATTCCATTCGATTCAACAGAAATCAATTTACTACTTTTTAGAATCAACATGTTTTGTACCCGCGGAGCAAACTCAACGGCAATGTAATGTCAAAACATAACGTCAAGAATTTCTCAAAAAATACTATTTCTATATATACATTTGATACATTATAATCAAAATTCTGACTTGTTAAAAACTTTTTTCTATCACTTGAATTTTTTTTACAATTGTTCTCGTTGTATAATTTCCTTCGTTAATG